GCGCTCCTGCTGAGGGTTCGGATCCCACATACAGACCGGTTCCCGCTCACTGGCTGAGCGAGGTGTGGGAGCAACACCGAGGGTTGCGATCCCTTGCCGGACACGAACAAAGACAAAAAGGAAAAAAAAAAAAAAGAGTAAGTGAATTCTGGGGCCGGCCCGGTGGCGCACTGCTACAGTGCACCGCCTGGGAGCGTGGTGGCGCTCCTGCTGAGGGTTCGGATCCCACATACAGACCGGTTCCCGCTCACTGGCTGAGCGAGGTGTGGGAGCAACACCGAGGGTTGCGATCCGTTGCCGGACACGAACAAAGACAAAAAGGAAAAAAAAAAAAAAGAGTAAGTGAATTCTTAGTAAATTCTTCTAACGAGTCCTTACAATACCTCTGAATACATGTGTCCACCAGCTCCATCTCCCTTACCTAAACCCCCTCTGTGCTCCCCTCACCTTCCATGCTGCCAATAGAACAAGGCAGATTAGTCCTTGAATTTAAAGATGTTGCTGCCCAATATGGTTTTCTTCATCTAAATCCCTACAATTACATTAAAAGAGTCTCTATATATTGATGATATCTATATTTCTTACAGGTTTTGGAACCAATCTAATTTTGGAATAGGATCTGGGGTTAACAGCAGTAGTCTCCATCACATTTTCCTTTGCAGTAACCTGGACATCCACAGGACTCAGCTGGAATACCATTTTAAGGTTGGGGGGGTACAAGAGATGATAGACTATCAGCTGAGTGAATGAGTAGGTCTAGGAAATTTAAAATGTCTCTTTCCTGGCTGTGGCTTAGGTGAACATTTTTAGTCTAGAACCCAGAATGTAGGCTTGTTCGTATTTTAAAAATAGGTAAAAGGATCTTCTTAATGAAGGCCATTTGCAGGCCTGTGTGAGTTTAGCAGCTCATAAGAGGGGCGTATTAATTGGTGAAAGGGCCATGCCTGCAGGAACGACAGTGCCAAACAAAACAGTTAGCTGGATTTCTGGAGCATCAGAAGTCATCAGTGCAAGATATTGTTCAAATTGATAGTCAAGATTTGTAATCCTACTTCTTCCTCAGCTGGCTGCTTGTGTTGCAGGGAGGTTTGCCTTAATGTGTGGGTTCCTGGGCTGGAAAGAACAGTAATGATATCTGCCTGTTTAAGAGGCCCGGATTTTCCCACTGAGAAACATCTGTTATGGGTTATCACAGTTACTGAATATATCAGTGTGGTTTCATGGAGTTAAAAAGAGAAATGCTTAAGCTTACACTTAATAAGAAAATGCACAGTGCAATCCGAATCATTATTGCCCTTGACTTTAATGGTACATGCGTATTTTTCTATTGTCCATATTTTTATACATACAATTGCATTCTTTTGCTGGCAATAAGAGTTTGTAGAGGGGAATATATAATCTCACCATCTCCCTTTTCCCCTTTTCCTCAGTTACCTGTAAACACACATACACACACACATCTGACTTCAGGCAACCGATGTCTTCTTAGATGAGACTGAGAACCGGTTGCCATTCCACCATCTGCTGGGGCTTCTCTTTACCCCCCTTCCCCAAGAGAAATGTAATTGTTAATCAGCCTTTATGTGAAATGAAAAATTGACTGTGCAGCCTAACGTCATCCAGTAAAACCTTTTGTAATTATGCCAGTGTTCTGTACATGTGCTGTCCAATACACCACCCACATGTGGCTATTGTGCACTTGAAATGTGGCTAGTGTGACTGAAAGACTAAATTTTTAATTTAACTTAATTTTAATATGAATTTAAATAGCTATATGTGACTGGTGGCTGCTGTATTGGACAGCACAAAAATTGCCAAAAAAGTCACAACATCAGAAAAGGTGTTGTTGAGTGAAGGCATTAATCAGTAGGATTACCTCTGATTTACATCCAAATGCCTCTTTTCTATATTGAGCTAACTGGTACTTAGAAGTAATGCAACATCATTCTTGATGGATGTCAAGATGATCATCATAAAAGATGAGAAAAAATCACCATCTACCTAAAGCATTTAAAATTAATAATAGAGACCATTCTCTATTCTATGCTAGATGATTTACATATCTGCTTTACAGATATATCATCTGTTATTTTTACAAGCATTCCAGGTTAAGATACTGCTTTTTTCCTATTTCATGTAAAACAGAAAACTGTGCTACACCAATTTAAAATAACAAGCCCAATGTCACATAGCCAGTAAGTAGCAGAGCCGAGTTTTGAACCCACATAGGGTTCTTCATTGATGTTTCTCACAATGAATGTTTTCCACATGGTCTTCTAGAGCACCTGTGCATATTTCCCTAATCAGCACTAGGGAATAGGGCAGGGGTCAAGAACACGGGCCTTTGCTCCACACTGCTTCACTTGACCTGCCTTTACCACTTACCATCTGCACGATTTTGAGCAAGTTACTTAATATCTCTGGGCCCCAATTTTCTCATTTTAATATGAAAATAATAACTATAAACCTCATTGGGTGGTTGTGAGGGTTAAATAAGTTAACAGTGCCTGGTGCATTGTTTGAACCATGTGGATTTGCCATCATCATTATTTTTAAGTTAAAGGAGACTGCCATTTATGTTAGAATGTCGATTCGATGTGATGTGAATAGATGAAATAGAGATATGCTTTGGGTATGCTTCCCTAGGAAATGTGAGAGACTATAATAAGTCAGACAATTCAGGAAGAAACACCCTGCTATTCAGCTACTTTGGTGTCTCCATCACTGAAATTACAAAGTTTCAGAGCCCACATGCCCTGGCCAATTCTTTGTATCTTTGCTTTTCATGTTACCCTTATAGATGTCCTCTTTGGTGTCTTTGATTGGTTTTGAATGCTGAGTAGTGACAAGCAGCAACACAGCTGGATAGAGCTGTAAGATTTGCTGTTCTGTCTTCCAGCAGGGAATTATTACCATGGATACCAGCATCGGAGGAGGAGTGGGGAGCACTCTCCACTTGCCTCCTGAGTGTCTGACATCTGTTTCTGGCAAGGCCAATAATGAGTGTGCTGCTAGTTTCATATCAAATAGGAGACTGATCTACATCTCTTTTTTTTTTTTTTTTTTTTAACCACAGATGGCCTCTGCCCAAGATGCCAGGTATGGACAGAAAGACTCTTCTGATCAGAACTTTGACTACATGTTCAAATTGCTTATCATCGGCAATAGCAGTGTGGGGAAAACATCCTTTCTGTTTCGTTATGCGGATGACTCCTTTACATCTGCATTCGTCAGCACAGTTGGGATCGATTTCAAAGTAAAAACAGTATTCAAAAATGAAAAGAGAATCAAGCTTCAGATTTGGGTAAGTGACTTTGAACTGACCGTGTCATCAGGCTGGTATGTTGCACATCCAAGTGTGTAAGGAAAAACTTTCTGCCTTGTTCTGTCCCCATGGGGTCCACAAGCCTCAATTTCCAGCTTGTTTGCTGCAGAACTTTCTATTTCAAAGACAGTGGGATGATTCCTCTTTAAGGTGTGGAGACTGAATTATGCCTTGTTGTCAAGTGGTGCTCCTTAAGAATATTTAGAAGAAAAAAAAATCCAAACCTCTTTCGTGTTGGTGGCAGAAGGAACACTCAAGTGAGAAGTCTGGCTCAGCCTTTTATGATCTGTGTGACCTTGAGCAGGTCTGTGAATCCTTCTATGCCGCTTTTGTAATTTATAAAATAGGCAAAGTGGATCTGGCCTTTTAGGTTATAGGAACCAGCCTGCCCTGCACATTTAAAGGAAAAGGTAAACAAGCAAATATAAGAAAACTTAGGTTTATTCCCTTCATAAAGCCCCAGATAAAATTCTGAGCACAGTCTATTTATACTCCACAGACTTAGTCTTTTCAGTTCTAAGAGCTATATTCATCTATACCCTCAAATAAACCAAAACAGCGAAACAAAATATTCATTTGAAGCAGGGTCTGCCCTATGTAGAAGGTTCCCCAAAAGTTTTGAGACCATTTGGCTAGCTTCTGCCTCTCCCCACCCTCTCAATAGGAAGATCAAAGGTTTCTGAACTAAATTGTTGGGATAAATTTAGGAGACTGGGGAGTAAGCAAGAAACAGAAGAAAAATGTATGTAGGTAACATGTCCAAGGTCATATAAGATCTACACCAAGAGAGAATTATGTAGTGAATATTTTATGAACATCATAATATATACATAGGTAGAATGTTTCTATGGTCAGTTTTGGCCCTTTTCTTTTATTCTTTTGTACCTCTGCCACTCAAGTTGATTTGAGCTGTAAAAAAGCATTTCCCGAGAGGTGTTTCTGCCTCCTTCTCAGACATTTCCAACAGCTACTATCATTCAGTGCTGGTGCCAGGACTGGCCTGCAGGACTGATGATAAGCCTCCCTTCTTAAATATGGAAAATTGGAAGAGACAAATCCCAGAGCTCAGTATTTAAACATTTTTCTTTTTTTTAAAGAGCCCTTTATTTACTATCATTAGAGTTCACATAAGAACTTAGACAAGTAGGCCCCAGGCTGGACATCTTCACTGCTCTACTCTGCCCCAAAGCCATTTGCTGGGAAGATCCCTCTTTAAGAACGAGACTTCAGTCAGTGTAGATACCAGTCACTCATGCCTATACATGGAGACAGAAAGAGCCATGTCCATTGTTTTGTATCTGAGTCCTGGTTCATTTTCTTCCTTTTCAGCTTCAGGCAACCAATTGTCATATGATAAATTTCATATTCTGGCTTAAGAAAGGTCCCTTAACTCTTATGGGCTTTGATGAATTGAAAATTAAATTAATTTGGTAACTACGCATCTCTTAACTCCACGACAGTCTTATTTCTGCTAACATGGAAGAACAATTTTTCCTCTATCTGACAGCTCTTGGTTTTTCCTCTCTTCTTTGTGTTTTAAGATTTAAAAATGATTGTTATAATCATTTAGATAAAACACCAGCATCAGGCGTTAAGACAATCTTTAGCAATTTATCAACCTAGGTTTTTGACAGAAATTCTTTATTGAGGTACAAATCACCTATCCTTAACATAAAGCAGATATATTTCAAATAATATAAAGTATTTCTCATACTTAAAAATATATTTTCTTTAAAACAGTCAATGCTGATACCAGGCCAAAGTTAATTCACTCACTTTTCTTGGTCATGAAGTTAGGCTATTTCTGTCTACACCTTACTTCTGGAGGAATGCTGCTCTTCTCCGAGCCAGCCAAAGCCTAGCTCAGATCTTTGAGCTGTTCCTTCTCTCATACCTTCTCTTGCTTCTCAGTTCTCATAACTTTGTGCAAGGCCTCTGATGTATTATTCTGTTCAGATCTGTCTCTTACCTTCCATAATCCACCATTTTCTTAAAACCTCCAACTCTCCTCACAACCAGGCTATCCTGGGATCTCATTTCATGTTCTGTGGACTCCCACACTCCCTTCAGGGGTCGGCCACCCAGGAACCCTTCACCTTGCCCTCTCCTCAGTCACAACAGTCGTTTAATAGTTATTAATATCTTTGCGATGAAAACATAATCTTGTTTCTTCTTTAGATATTTAGGAGCTCTTAATGCACATATGATTCTGGACGTGTGAAAATTAGTTTTATACTACTGTATACCAACTGGTCTATGGTAGATTGTGAAACATTCAAAAGAAGTACTATACAAAGATTTTGTGCTTACTGAACTTGTAGTATAGTTGGAGAGAGAAATTAATACTTGTGGATTAATTACATTCATCTGTATGCAATACCAAATTGTATAAATATTATTTATAGCTAGCATTTATTAAATATATACTATATGCTGGGCATTACCTATTGCTTATCTCTAATTTCCACAACAACCTAACTTTGTATTTATTATTATTCCTATTTTACGGGAGAAATCTGAAGGTGGGACAAGTTAAATAGCTTGTCCAGGGTATTACATGATGAGTGGCCATGATGGGATTCTGGGTGAGGTCTATCAGATCTGAATGTGGGAATTGTAACCTTCACCACGCTGCTATAATTAAGAAGCCTTTTTATGAAGATGACAATCTTGGGTGATGTTTTCTGGGATGTTGTAAATGTTTTTGAAAGAGTTTGACCACCTCAATGAATTGAGGCATACAGGAGAAGATATAACAAAGAGTAACGTTGGGGATGCTTATGTACAGGCATTCCCATAATAATTCTTGGGATCCTTGCTTTATGCTGTAAGTGTGCTAAAAATATATTTAGTTCTGTATAGTTATTATTGTTTAATGACTTTGACAAATCATTTATTTGGGAATACATTAAGTACTGATAGGTTGTTATCTCATTTAATAACCAAACAACTGTTCTTTCCAGCTTACAGTATTTTATGCATTTATATTAATGCATAACTAATTAAGACGTCCACATCATCTTAGCCTATTATATATTTCAAAGACAAAGAAGCAAAATGATTTCATAGTAAGAAAACCACAATGCACTAATCCACTGCAGTATCACCTTTACCAAGATAGGTTGCAGATATTAATATGATTCTGATCACTCTATTAATTTTAAATTGCCCACAAATAGAACTGTTTCCAAGTTAGGAAACCAAGATCTAGAGAGGTTAATGATTTGACCTCACCTTACCATTAGTGTCAGAGCAGGACCTAGAATCCAGGTCTCCTGTTAGCTGGGCCAGTTTAATTTCTGTTACACAAAGTTTGTTCTCAAGATTAGTACTCTGTTGTGAAAATTGTGATAAATCTCACACCTGGTTGCCAGTGGATTTGACCAGGCATAGAAAAATCAAACTGGAGGCCAGATTTCAAGTAGTATTTCTAACACGTCAGGAGGAAAGAGCTTGGGTGAGAAGACTCCACTGTTTTTCCAATTGATGGTTTGCTTTGTTTTCATGTGCTGAATAGGAATTTTCTGATTCCACAAACTGGGTTACTGGATTTTTAACAGTCCACATTCAAATAAAGCATATTAACGGCTACTGGAAACATTGACATTTCTTCCTCGACATGTTTTACTTGCTTTACGTGGAAGTTCATTACTGCCTTGCAATACACTTGTTTAGAGAAATATCATTGTTCATTTATACTTAGTTATAAACTTTGTATTACATTAGCATATTTATGAATCCCTCTATCCTTCATTATATTAACATTTCTTCTTGCACTTTCATTTCATTACCATTTTTATGATTCTCAAATCAAATATTCTCCAGATTTAAAGGATTCCAAATATTTGGGCTGGTTCTTTTTATTTTTCTGTCTGTTTAGTGCTCATATGAACATACTGGAGAAAAATTTAGACTGTTTTTTTTGCTTTAATTATAAAAAAATTTCATAACCTGGGATCTACAATATTTTGATTCTTATTTACAAAATAATTTAGCTTTGGGAAGGCTATGTAGAATGGATTTCTCCCCAAGAGGAAGGTTGAAAAATAGTATAACATCCATTACTGAGAAGAATATTGTCTGTATTTATTTTCAGTGTCTAGATTACTGGTATAAGAACTAGAAATCGATAGATCAATTGGAGAATATAGATTTAAAATGGACAGGGGCAGGTCAGCAGAGAGGATTACTGTTTCCTTAAATGTCAGAACAAGATTTTATCGATTTTATCATTTTTTTCTCTTTTTCCTACTCTCACCCTTCCTTCTTGTCTTTCCTCTCCATTCATCCCTCTTTCTCTTTCTCCCTCCTATTTCTGACCTCTTTTCTGGCTGAGTTAATGGGAAGCTCATTCTCAGCCTGCTTGGGGGTCAGGGCTGCCATACACAGATGTGCATGTTGTTCACTAGACAAGAGCACCAGGCAAGGTGTCAAGTGGGGCTGCTGTCCAGCCAGAGCTCCCCTCACCAAGCCTTGTGCTCTCACTCAGAGCTACTCCTATCTCCAGGAAGGGAGGCCTTTTCCTTTTCACAAGGGTACCACCTGCTTGTCAATTACATGACTTCTGCTCTGCATGCAACCAAGGGGGATTCTGATTCCCATACAGCAACCGTATGTGCAGACAGTAACTATATCAGAATCTAATGAAAGAGATGTAGCAAACCAAGAAAAGGACAGAAACCTTGCTTTCCTAGTGAGGCCTAGAAGAAGAGTGTGTTGTAAAATATAGGTTTTATTATCATTTAGGTATGACAAGGCCAACAGCTTGGGATATGACTGCCATTGTAAAAATAGTTTGTTACACTTACAAACTAAAGATCTCAAGAGAAGGGTGTGTGGTTGGGGGACAGGGGCCCATGTGGAATCAGAAGAATCACCGGGCTCTGTCAGGAGACAGAGGGACGGAAGACTGTGAGCAAGGGCTTCTATTGTGGCTTCTGCAGGAAAGGACAGAAAGGCAGGGTAAACAGGCTAGGATT